AATTGGAGATGCGTGTAGACGGAGAGAGGGAGAGACGAATGAATGCAGGAGGGTGGTTTTTTTTTTTAGGGAAAAGACAAGCCAAGTCTCATGCCTATATATACTACACTTGAGAAATAATAATCATATAAACCTCTTTGGACAGGCAAAGCTACAGTATGTAAACAGGACCTTATCTTTTGTGTTTCTGAATCCTTTTCCCTTTAAATACTAATTCTACAACACACAACAAACAAATCCAGGTCCGTCTAATATGCTTAAAGTTGACTTTTTCACTGAGTCGAACCCCGACCTGTCACCCAGCCTGGCATTATGAGCCAACATCAGTGCCGAACCTCACTAACGCTCCTGTGGCTGAACGGTGGAAAGTCCCTGAAGCCAGGATCTGGCAGAGAGCCTGAAACCAGAAGGCAGGGGAGGCTGCTCCAGCAGGAGATTAATCTGGGTTTTTGGAAAGAGATGTTCCAACGGTCATAAGCTGCTTTCCCACACGGACAGATTCCGATCATTTCAGGAGAATCAGATCCAGATATTTTACAGTTTTTGTAAAACTTGTATCACACAGCAGGAAATAGTTCACATAAAAGTAAAAGGTCAACACACCACGCTATTAGCTGAGCAGCTCATTCGCACATCGGCACAATAGGACATCACACTGAGTTTAAGAGGGAGCTGTCAGGTTATAGCAGACATTTACATTTCTAACATGCACTTCACATGTCTGGAAGTTCAAAATCAAGAACCTTTATTGTCACACAATAAAATGACAGTTATAGCAACCTTAGATGGTGTGTGATGTTTAAAACAAGATAGTGCCACAGATATGAAACATAAAATATCATAAATATAAAATGCATTTTATACTCCTGGGTCGCTTTAGCTGTATGTTTTGGGTCATTGTCCATCTGTATTATGAAACGCCTCTCAATCCATTTGACTGCTTTTAGCTGGATTTGAGCAGACAGTAAGTCTCTGAACACCTCAGAATTCATTCAGCTGTTTCTGTCCTGTGTCAAATCACCAGTAAACACTAGTGTCCCAGTGCCACTGGCAGCCATGCACACCCAAGCCATCACACTGTGTGTCTGCCATGTTTTACAGATGATGTGGTATCCTTTGGATCATGAGCTGTTCCACACTTTCTTCATACTTTTTTCTTACCATCACTCTGGTAGAGGTTGATCTTGGTTTCATTTGTACAGAGAATGTTTCTCCAGAACTGTTTTTAGATGTTGTTTTTTTTAGCGAAGTCCAATCTAGTCTTTCTATTCTTGAGGTTTATGGGTGGCTTGCACCTTACAGTGAACCTTCTGTATTTACTTTCATGTAGTCTTCTCTTTATGGTAGACTTGGATATTGATATGCCTACCACCTGGAGAGTATTATTCACTTGGTTGGCTGCTGTGAAGGGGTTTCTCTTTACCATGGAAATGATTCTGCGATCATCCGCCACTGTTGTCTTATGTGGATGAAAAGTCAGAGTTGTTCTCTCTGAATACAGTTTTAAATCACAGAGTTTCTGAAGTAGATTCAGTTCTAATGCAGCGCTGATTGCCTCCTATCTGAGGTCAGAGCCCTGTTAATGGACTGTTGTCAGGCTCCAGACTAACGAGTGTCTCTGCCTCTATCCGTCTCCCTGCACAGAGTACTGCAGCAGTGCTATTCTGGAGAGTCGAGTAGGCTAAAGTGAAGGTCGTTAGAAGGCCGCCTGTGGTCCCTCTGCTGTCTGCCAGCCGTGAATGGGTGTATCCATCTGTCTGTGCGTGTGTTTGTGCATGTACATGCACCCTTTTCTTTGGGTTTGTGTGTGCGTGAAGTGCATGCACGGATGTGTGATGCACAGCAGATGGCGGCTGCAGCAGCGAGAGACTCACCTTGACTGTCCCAAAGACTTCATTTTGTCTCTCTGCAGAGTGTTTATCTGAATGCAGATAGCCCTGACACGCACATGCCGGTATATGTGACAGATTCCACCTGTTTCTGCTTCTCGGTGTCTCCGACTCTGCTTATGTGTGACTGCTTTGTGAATGTCACCCTAACTTAGTGTGACAGCACTGCAGAGGCGGAGTGAGTGCACCGCTGCTGCTTTCGCCACAAGATGGCGTAAGAGGACAGCAGTCTTGCTGGCGAGTGCTGTTTGGAAAGAGTGAGCGTAATATGCTGCAGGTGTGTGACTTGCAGCCCGAGCACAGTGTGTGTTTTAGTGTGTTTGTGTGTCCAAGGAAGGAATCGGTCTCAAGTTTCATCTGATTCATAGTCAAAATCTTACAAAACAAAGCAGCTTCATTTTGTCTCATTTTGTAAATTTAGTTTCAGATTTTCTCCTGATGAACTAAACAGCGAAGGCAAATGTTTGCTAAGTGCTGATCTTATCGCACTCTTGCTGGCCTGAAGCTGTGGAATCCAGGAGTGAGACGGCCAGGCAAATATCCCTGAAGGCTTGTCCATACTTTGATAAAAGTTGGAATTTCGCTCCCCTCCTCCCTCTCCTCCTACTCCTCCTCTTCCTCCTTCCCTCACATCACCCTTTTCAGATGCTCTGTACCATTAGACAGTGGCTCATTGTTTCGAGCTGCCCATTGGACTGAGAGGGGGTTCAATTATCCGTGGACACCGTTAAAGCAGAGGTTGACACTGGGAATTCTCTCAGGCCCTCTCGGCATTGTGCTGGCTCTCGATGGGACAATGCTAACAGGTGGCAGAGCCTAAGCTACAGTGCTGGCGTGATCTTATAATTATGAACACTCCTGCAGGCCCAGATGAAGCGTATGCTGTAAACAGATGTAGACAAAAGGCCACCTTTTCTTTGCCCGAGGCAGCAGAGCAAACCGTTTGGGCACACACACCCAGCAGTTTAAACCTGACACTTCACACTTTTGGTGTTCTGTGTAGGTGTGTGAAAAAAAAGCTTACATCACAAACAAGGTAGACGACAATTTGAACAACACTCAAAGGATGGACATGCCAAGTGCGTGTAATTGGAGATGCGTGTAGACGGAGAGAGGGAGAGACGAATGAATGCAGGAGGGTGGTTTTTTTTTTTAGGGAAAAGACAAGCCAAGTCTCATGCCATGCTTTGAATCCAAGGTCAGTAGGGGACAGTGAGAGTTTACACAGTGGAACAGGGAGGGAGAACGAGAGAGGGAGGAGTGAAAAGAGGGAAGAGAAACAACAGCAAACAGACTCAGAGGGGAAAAGATAGAGACCGAGAGGCATTGCAGGACAAACAGCTCTTTTACTTTGGGGGGGAGAGGAGGCTTGCTGAGAGGATCAAATGACAGCAAACACAGGGGGAGAGTGAGAAAGTGGACGGAAAGAAAAGAGGCACCCATGAAGTCTCAGTCCGCCTCGAAACCCGGGAGAGGAGCGTCAAAGCCTGCCGGCCTCCTGGGAGAGAGTGCAGGTGTTCTCCTACATTAGGCCTGCCAAGTGCACGGCGATGCGTTCAGGGTACGAGGCGAGGGAGAGAAGAAGGTTCAGTCGGGCGAGCGGTCAGAGGAGAGGCGCCGGCCATGTGACGCCGGCGAGGACGCCGGCCGTCTTCTGTTGTCAGGGCTCGTCTGCAGCCGGGGAGGAGAGGTACTTAGCAAATAGGCGGTCTTGCCACAGGTAGGTCAACACCCAGGAACCCGTCTCACCTGTCTGTCGTGTATATGTGAACATTTGAATATCATGTTTGTGGAACAGACGTGCAGATATGCAGATAAGAGTAATTCTGGGGAAATTGTCTGACTGCCCATGTAGCTCTCGTGAACACCGAGACGTTTGCCCAACTTTTTCCTTCGCTTTGGACTTTTAATTTCAAGTTAGTGATGACGGCTGATCGCGGGATGGTTCAGAACTTTATGTCATTGTACGTTTCTGGCATGGAGTGCTATAAAGTTCCAGACATCCATTACCATCAGGCTTTGAACAGTCAGGACTCCCAGATGTTATATCAGCACAGTGACAGTGGCGACAGTGGAAACAAAGAACTCCGTTTTAACAGGAAGAAAGCTGAAGGCCCAGGGAGAGGCTTACTTATATGTGCCGTAAAAAGTATTAGAACATTATCTGTGATTATTATCACTGCAGCTTGTTTTAAAAACATCTATTCAGCCGTTAGTGAACGTCATCCTTATTTAATTGTTTAAATAAATCTCAACTAAATGTTAATTAACTTTCAGTTAAAAAATACTTTTTTTTTTTTCCACTTTTGCTTCAGTTGCTCAATTGTTGGGTTCACATTTGCACTTTTTATCGGATGTTTATGGGTACATTTGTGTAGACATTCGTTCCCCTGAGGTTAAAACCTTGGTTGATGTTTTTGGTATTGATGAAAATATGTTGGTGCCTTGTGAAGAGACTGTTATATGAAAATGTGGTGTGGACTAAGGTATTATAGTTAACTAAATCTAGCTGTGGAAAAAAAACATTGTAGTTAACAAAAATACAAAATAGACTTTTTAAAAATTAAAAATAGCTACAATCAAATAAAGAAATATCCTTATTTTTTTGGTATTTGTACGTTTGGTAAATTAGCTTTAAATGAGCTTTTAAAAAAATCGGTTTAGATATTAATATCCATTTCTTGTAGGGATTTTGAGTTGTTGGGTTCACGTTTGGATTTTTATTGAAACTTTCCCATAAATTATTCGATGTTTTGTGGATACATACACTTCAGACATCGTGGAGTCTGAAGTCTAGTGAGAGAGGACTTCACTCTTCCTCAGCTCTAGCACCACCAGCAGGTCATCACGTCTTTTACTATTTCAGCATCTTCTGGGACATTCATGGTCCCGGTTATGAATGCCCACGATTCCTGTTGATCCCCTGACCTTGTATCTAAAGCTAGCAGCAGGCTGACATGTTTTGGCTTTTAGTGGATTGTCTTAACAGCTGTTGAACTCATATTATTTAAGAGACCCCCCGACTTTTCCTCTAGCAGCCTGTACCAGCAGGCCACATCAGAGTATCTGTTTGAAGCATTGGTGCACAAATTTCTGCAGTTAACAGATGGAAAATTAAACAGTAAAAAA